GGCGGAGCGGGGCGGAGATGCGAGCGCCGCGGGGGACTGCCTCTCGCAGGCGACTCGTGCTCCTCCGCCACCACCATCCCCCTTCCCCCCCCCTGCTCACCACGCCCCTAGACACACGCACGCGCACACGCGCACACACGCGCACGCGCACACGCGCACACGCGCACACGCGCACACGCGCACACGCGCACACGCGCACACGCGCACACGCGCACACGCGCACACGCGCACACGCGCACACGCGCACACACGCACACGCGCACACACACGCACACGCCTCACCTCGCCGCCAGAGCCCACCAATGCCCCTCCCCCGGGCCAATGCCGTCCATCGACCCAACCCAGCTCCTCGCTCCCTGCCTCAGGCCCCTCCCGGGCGAGACCTCCTGACCACGCCCGAGCCCCGCTTTCACGTGCTCGGCGCGAAGCGCGCCGCGCCCCCCCCCCCCTCCCCGCTGCGAACGGCGTCTCTCCACGCCCGTCTCACTCACTGCGAGCAGGCGCCAAGAGCTACGGCCGAGCCTCGTCCTTCCTGCTCGCCATCGGGCACAAGCAGGTCCAGGGCGTCGTCGCGCTCCTTGCGGAGGCGCTGCTGCCATAACCCTCCATGTAGCAGAGCCGTCGAGAATACGTGCGGGCTCTGAGGGTCGACACGCGCGGCCGACACGCGATACAGCTGCGCACAGAGCACAGACGACAGAGTCAGGAGTCAGCGCGGAGGTCGCATCGGCAGAGCGGGCGCGGACGGAAAAGCGAAAAGGGTCTCGCCATCAGTACATGTTAGGCGGCGTACAGTATGTGGAGAGCGAAAAACAACTGGAATACGTGACCTCAGAAACGCACACGTTGTCGTCACAGACTGACACCCGGTGTCAGATACACAGAGGCGGGACACAGCGCCAAGACCTCGCCGCTACCGCGCGAGAGACTCGCAGAGAGAGAAATATGATACCCACACTAAGCCCGGCTCAAGGTCCTTCCGAGCGCCACCGCATCCGTGCGCCGCCGCAACAAAGCCGTGCGCCGTCCCATCCGTTCAGAGCAAGGTCGCCTCCCGACATGCGCACACGCAGAATCACCCCTTGTAGTGTGACCTGCGCGGTCGCCGCGCACGTCGCCCGCGGTGATTGCACGGCCTCGCGCCGTGGTTGGCGGGTTTGACCAGCCGCTTGCTCTTGCCCGCGTGCTTGCTCTTCCCCACCATCAGCAGCAGCGGCAGCAGCGCGGTCTGGGCGATGTGCCCGACGCTCGGAGGCCGGAGGCGCGCAAGCGCGGCCGGCATCCACGCGGCGGCGGTGGCGAGGGCGAGGGGCAGGGCGCTCGGGGCGGGTGCAGCGGATGCCGCCGGAGATGACGCACCAGCGAGCCGCGCGCCCCGCGAGAGGCAAAGCCGAAGCATTGCAAGAAACGATTCGTTTTCTTCTTTTCGCTCACACACACACACACACACACACACACACACACACACACACACACACACACACACACACACACACACACACACACACACACACACACACACACACACACACACACACAACAAGAAGGCCCGCCGCCTAAACATGGGCTGCAAGGCGCGCGGGCAGCCCCCGGCCAACCCTTCTCCCACAAGACCGGCCACGGCTACGTCAAGGCGCATCGCGGTTTCTACCACGACGCGATCTTTGTCAAGCGCAACAACTTCAACCTGCTGCTCCACGAGACGTTCGGCGGCGGCTTCTCGCCCACCGCCGTTCTCAAGCTGCGCCGCATGCGGAATCGACCCTATCCAGTGCTCAAGTGCTCAAGCTGCGCCGCCTCGCGCGCAAAGTCGCGCGCGGCAGCGTTGACCGCACAGCCTACTCGCCGTACTCGCTCTCTTTTATGTCCCACCATGCAGAGCGCATCTCTCTCTCTGTTGTGCGAGGCGTGAACCGCGCCATTCGCTCTCACCTGGCAACCCTGTCTGCACGTCTCGCGCGCGCGTGAACAGGGCTCCAGGCCCCAAATGACGTGTGTGTGTTAGAGTTGTTTGGTATTGCTAAAAATAGCACACAACATACACACTGATGCGACAAAACAAACGTGTGCGAGGAGCGCACCGCCCGCGACAAAAACAAGTACTACACCGTCCGCGGCGGCTACCTGAGTTCTACCCCAAGACGCAAGAGCGTCCCGCTCCCCGAGCCCGAGTCCCTTCCAGCTACCGACGCGATTCTCAATGGCACTTGCAAATCCACGTACCCGCGGCCGCGGGCGCTCGCTGCCATCAAGAATCACAAGGACTGGTACGCGCACCTGGAGCTCGTCAAGGCGCGGGATGTGCACGTCAAGAACAACCCGTCCCTCGGAGACAGCGCCGTCAACAACCGCGAAGCCACGCGCCTCGTCTCCGCCTCAACGCCTTTCGCCGGCAAGGCCTTCGATGTCCGTGTCGACGGTACGTACGCCCTCTCCTCCGACACCCCCCAGGACGAGCTCCAGCGGAAGCTCGGCCTTTGGCTCTCCGCGGCGCTTCCCACCCTTCGGGTCGCGCTCGAGCGGGGCATGCCAGTCGATTTCTTCGGCGACTACCTTTACAACAAGGCCCACCACCGGCGGCCCCACGACGGCGTCCTCGCCGCCTGGGCGGACGCGACGCGCGCCCCGGCCAACGCGCCGGTCGTGCACGGTGACGAGGAGAAACCAGAGCTCACCCGGCAGTACAACGAGGGGTACAAGACTGACCTCGCAGACGACGTGGCCAACCATCTCCGAGAGGATGACATGCTCCTCGGTGCTGGCTTGCGAGGGCTGTCCCTTTGCCGTCTCGCCGGGCGCATGGCCATGTTGGTGCACCGTCGCGAGCAGCTTACGCTCGAGTTTGTCCTTCTTGCCGCGCTCGATGCGGTCCGAGAAGGACGAGTATATTACGAGCCACGAGTTGTGTGTTCCGTGGTCCTCGTTGGAGGTGGAGTAGATGGTAGTCTCGAGGTGGCCGGTGCCGACCGGCGCGGCGTCGTCATTCAGCACATGTGCAGGCTTTTGTGGAGAGCCTGGATTGCCGATTCGCTATGCAGCATGAGCCGTCCGTCCGCGGTGTAGAGTGAGAGACGGGTCACGCGGATTGCACGGCAATGGGAGACGTCGATGCCGTCGAGTAGTGTGTGCTTGGGCGCATGGGTGGGGAGTATCACGATACGCCAGTCTCACTCCTCCCTATGTGCCAACGTGTTCGCGCTCCCTATGTGCCTGTTCCCCGATGTGTCTACGCAGAGGGGCGAGCCCACACACCGAGCATCGCATTGACAAGGCCGAGCATGCCTGGGCACAAGGACAGGAGGGCGTGGCTGGGTGTGGTAGCGAGGGTTGTGGCAGGCGCTCTGGCGCAGGCATCGGCGGGTCACGAGGATGGCTGCTTGATTCCGAGAGGATGGCAGCGATTGTGAATGGGGGAAGAGGGTGGTGTGAGTGGGTGTGAGGAAGACGCCGAGTGGTGGATGGCTACGAGGAAGGGCTCGCCAGTGTAGAACGCGCGATCCGAGAGAATGACGCCAGGGGGGGGGGGGGGGGCTGCTCCTCGTCAAAAAACGCCGCGCACGTGCGCTTGCTTCTCCGTGCCCCATAGCCAACTGCCATGAGCGACGCCATCGCCGTGAGCCCGCTCAGCGGGGGGCCCACCCATCCAAAAAGGCCAACGACGGTGACCACCGAGGCGCTGATGGTGCTGGCGATGAAGACGGCGCCGGCCGCGGCGCCCTGCAGTGCCGCCGCAAAACCCCAGCCGAGGGATAGCAGCTTCGTGACTAGGAACGCCAGGGCAACGGCGACCGCTGCGAGGGAGGCGTACAGGATTGTCATGCGAAGGAAGTCCTCCACCGTCAGGTACTGCTCCCAGTAGTCATAAGCCACGCCTGTGGGTCGTCGGGGTGGGGGATGCGTCAAGGACGCATTTGCTCAGCCCTCGTGCTGTCGTGCGGAGCTGCTGCGGCTGCCGTCCATGAAGCAGTGGAGCGGACCGACAGGCAAGTCGTACGCGCCACCGCTGCGCACGGGCTCGATCGCTCCCGAGTAGTCGCACTTGTCCCTCTGCGTGAGCGCGAGAGTAACCCCAAGAGGGCTGAAGATGAGCGGTGCGCGCAGGGGTCGGCGTGGAGGGCGAGGAACGCGCCGCGCGGGGCGTCGCCTCACCGGCCCTCGCCAACGCCTCAAAAGTGGCGCAGAGTGAGGCGGCGCCCCGAGCGAGCACGTGAGCCCCGTGGCTCCAACCGGGCCCTTCCTTTTTTGAGCAGGTGTGCCGCCGCGCGAGCGACGCTCCGAGATCGCCCGAGATAGCGCGGCGCGGCGGTGGGTGGGGTGGGGTGGGGTGGAGGGGGGAGCGGCGTGGCGTGGAGCTGCGCGAGATTGCCCGAGATCACACGAGCATTGTGTTCATTTTAGCATTGTGTTCATTTTAGCATTGGATCTTGTTATTTTTTTGATCGCGCCTGAGACTGTACCCCTACCCCTGCATAGCGCCTCTGGCAGTCGTCTCTCGCGCCCCAGCTACTTGTGAACCCAAGGAAACCACGCATGGAGAAAACTTGGAGCACTTGGAGTGCAGTCGGTAACCTCACATCCAGGGCCGGTGAGCTGAGAAGCGCATCCAGCGGGCCGGATGATCGGTATCGGGTTACGGGCTAGAGAGCCCTAGCCCCGGGGGTGCGCGTTCGCAGGGCCATAACACGGGTCTCCGAGGGTTAGCTCCGCGCTCCGGGTTTCCCCTAGCAGCAGAAAAACCTGGTCTTTTTTCCAGCCTAATGCTCGCGCCGGCGCCGCGCTCGCGCCGCCTCGCCGCCGCCGCCACCGCCGAGCCCTCGCCAGACACGCCGCCGCCCGCCCGCCTGCTCGACCTCCCCACGGAGCTCCTCGTGCGCGCCCTCTCTCACTGCGACCCCGCCGACATCGCTCGCGTCGCGGCCGTCTCGCTACTCTTCCACGCCTCGCTTGCGCTGGAGGGCATCCGCTTGTGGGCGCAGCTTCGCGGCTTCGAACTGCCGGCGCAGCCCGAGGGCGAGGGCTGCGCCGTGCGGTGGCTGTGCTTTGCTGCGTTGCTGCGCGAGTCCAACCCGCCGGCGAGGCTGGCAGCGGGTTTTCGGCACAGCATCTTCATCGACGGCGAAGGGCGGCTCTCGTCGTGCGGCAATGCGCCGTCCTTCCCAGGACTGCTCGGGCACGGCGAGGGCGTGACGCGGCTCAACACGCCGACCCGCTTCCCGTCGATGCTGGGTGGCGAGCGTGCCGTGAGTGTGGCGGCAGGATCCGCGCACAGCCTAGCCCTCGCCGCTGACGGCAGTGTCTGGAGCTGGGGCTGTGTCGCCGTTGGGGGCTGTGGCCACGGCGACCAGCAGGCCCAGTGGCAGCCGAAGAAGATCGAGGCCTTGGCGGGCCAGCGCGTCGTCGCTGTGTCGGCTTGGGAACACAGCCTCGCCCTCACCGCCAACGGCGCCCTCTGGAGCTGGGGCTATGGAGCCCTTGGCCAGCTGGGCCACGGCGACCAGCAGCAGCAGCTGCTGCCCAAGAAAGTCGCGGCCTTTGCTGGCCAGCGCGTCGTCGCTGTGTCGGCTGGAGCGACCCATAGCGTCGCCATCACTGCCGACGGCGCTGTCTGGAGCTGGGGCTGTGGAACCTATGGCCAGTTGGGCCACGGCGACGAGCAGGACCAGCTGCTGCCGAAGAAGATCGAGGCCTTAGCTGGCCAGCGCGTCGTCGCTGTGTCGACGGGACGCGAACACAGCCTCGCCCTCACCGCCAACGGCGCTCTCTGGAGCTGGGGCCGTGGAGGCCTTGGCAAGCTGGGCCACGGCGACCAGCAGAACCAGCTGCTGCCGAAGAAGATCGAGGCCTTTGTTGGCCAGCGGGTCGTTGCCGTGTCCGTGGGAGGACACTCTCTCCCTATGAGCCGATGGAGCCACAGCCTCGCCCTCACAGCCGACGGCGCTGTCTGGAGCTGGGGCTGTGGATACCAAGGCCGGTTGGGCCACGGCGACCAATGGGGGAAGCTACTGCCCAAGAAGATCGAGGCCTTCGCTGGGCAGCGCGTCGTCGCCGTGTCGGCTGGGGGAACCCACAGCCTCGCCCTCACCGCCGACGGCGCCGTCTTTACCTGGGGCAAGGGTGAAAGCGACCTCCTAGGCCACGGAGAGGACTTGTCGAACCAGCTGCTGCCCAAGAAGGTCGAGATGTGGGCGCCGGGGCGATGAGCAGGCAAGGGGGGGCAAGAGCTACGCGAGGCAGGGGGTGGGGCAGGCTATGGGGCCAGATAAGAAACCCCGTTGCGTTCTCAACACAAACACACTTGTGACTTGAAAGTTACAACACGGGCACGTCGTATTGAGGCCATCGTATATCGTATTGCCTATTGAGGCTGCCGCGTTCCCACATCTTGTGCAGCGTCCGTCGGTGAGAGTCGATCTCTGTCTGTCTGTCGTTCGTCTTCTTCCTGTATGTAGGAAGGTGAAGAACAGTCAGGCACGGACTGGACACCAACGCTGGGGTGGGAAAAAGAATTCGCGCCCTGGCTTCATTAGAGCATTGGATCGCGCGTGAGATGCTCGTCGTCACAGCTTTGTCAGGTTTGTCCTTCTCGGTCGGCCCGGCCGCGCTGCCCGACCCGAGATCGCTCGAGATCGCGCGGGTGTGCGGCGCCTCGGCATATCTCGGACTCGGCGAGGTGGATGGGTTGGGAGCGAGGGGGCGGAAGTGTTCAAGTGCGGTAGAGATCGGTCAGTCGGTGCGCGAGAGGTGGCCTGAGCTGTGAGCCATCCGGCTTACATACACCCTGCGTTCTCGCACATGGAGTGCGAGGTAGCCGTTCTGTTGCCATCCCAAACTGTCACTCCCCTTTCTCCCGGCCGGGGTGTGCGGGGGCGGCGGGTGTGCGGGATGTCCGTGGGCCCGAGAGCGATGTGCCATGTCCGCCTTGCGTTTGTTTCATAACATCGAAGGCTAGCTCAAAAACAAACGATGCCGGCGTGCTTCCCGAGGTTGCCGACTGCACTCCAAGTGCTCCAAGTGGGAGAAGGTGTGCCCTTAAGGCGATGGACGACCGGCCCTCGCGGGCGGGTGTTCGCGCTCCGAGATCGCCCGAGAGATAGCGCGGCACGGCTCCGAGATTATTGTTTATTGCAAATAAAACTTCCCGCGACGCGCAACGACCAGCGTGCAGAGGCCAGATGGAGATGCAGACCCAGAGCGAGGAGACGCTGCGAGTTCGCGCGAGGCTAGGCTCAGTACGGCGAGTTGCAGTTGGAGTTCTCGCGGGGAGTTTTTAACGATTAACGTGACATGAATGTGAACCCGCCGCACACACGGGGTGAGTGTCACACGCTTCACACGTAAAGGCTCGGCTTGCTGCCAGTCAGCTCCCCTATCTGGACGAGATTCGCGCAGGACGGCTGGCGCGAGGCGGCCGAGAAGGAGCAGTCGAAGAAAGCGTCGAAGGAGGAGCTCCGCCCGAGGGAGGACGAGCCCCGGATGAGCCCCGGCCTGCCCAGCCTGCCGCTGTTGCTGTCGTACCGGTCGTAGACGGGCACCGGGGCGGGCGGGTTCCTCCACGCCTCCTTGTGCCGCTCGACGAGCTCGAGCATCCGCTGGCGCGAGAAGGAGGCGAAGGCGAGGCTCGCCCCGACCACGAGCAGCGCCGCGCCGGCCGTCATCCTCGCCAGCGGCGCCTGCACTGCCTCGCCCACTACGCCCGCCCCCACGGCAACTCGCTCGAGGCGGAGCAGCACGCCCCTGCCCTCCAGCAGCGCGCCCACCAGCGCATCCGCGAAAGCAGCGCTGGCGTTGGCAGCGGTGCCGTTGGCAGCGATGGCGGTGCTGTTGGCAGGCTCAGAGCCGTTCGACGGGAGCGAGGGGCAGCGCCGCCGGCCGAGCCGGAGCGCGGCGGACAGGCCGGCGCAGTCGAAGTTGAGTGCCGCGGCGGCGCTGCGCGCCTCGCGTCCAAACGAGGACGCGGTTTTGCTGGACGAGTCGGACAGGCCACTTGCGACGCTGTACGCGACGTCCGCCGCCACAGAGCCATCATCATCATCAGTCTCCTCGACGGCCGGCAACGATGCCAGCACGGCGCGCGCCGGCAGAGACGCGAACTCGCACGCCATTGAGAGTGATGAGCCGGAGGCGTCCACGGCCGCCGACACGGCCGCGTGAGCCGCGCACGCCTCGACCTTGGTGTGACTTCTGCCGTCGGCTACCTCGTACCACGGCGCGAGCCGAGGCGGGACGAGCATCGCGTCGAGGGTTGCGGCGTTGGAGTCGATGACGTCGGCGGCGATGCGGCCGCCGACGGCGAGCCCGAGGCCGGAGGCGGAGAGAACAAGCACTGCGACGCAGAGCACCAGCACCAGCACCAGGGCTGCGTGGAGAAGGCGGGGAAGTGCCTTGTCGCGTCCCCCGCAGCCGCTGCACCCGCCGCAGCCGCCGCAGCGACCGCAGCTGCTGCAGCGACCACACACCCCTCCGCCCTGCCCTCCGCCCTGCCCGCCGCCGCCGCGGTATCGACCCGCCGCTCGATCGAGATGCCGCACACTCGCGCGCAAGCCGGCGAACTGCCCGTCGCTGTCTCCAGCCGCAGCCCTGCCCAGCCTTCTCCGCGACCGGACGCCGTGCAGCAGCACGAGCAGCCCGCTCAGCCAGCCGCCGCCGATGGCGACGGCGCACGCGGTGGTGGCGGGGCCGAGGTAGCGCGGCCTCCACGGGAGCGCCTCCTCCACCTCGGAGGCTCCCAGGACGAGCGCTAAACCGCCCGCGGCGAGAACCGCGATCGCGAGCCCGTCGCAGCCGGCAGAGTAGAGCGCGCCCCGCCGCGTGTCGGAGCGCCAGAAGCTGAGCCAGAGGTGGTAGCGGACAAGGGCGGTGCGTGTGACTGCAGCAGCCAGCAGCAGGACGAGCGACGCACTGGCCGCCCTCATCAGCGGCTCGGCCAACTCGTCGAGCTGTGCACACGCCGCCGCCGCAGCCACCTCCTCCTCCCGCACCACCCTCAGCGCGGCGCCGACCTCCTGCGAGGCCCGCCACAGGCCCGCCAGGCTCGCGCGCGGGCGGTCGGGGCCCGCCCCGCACAGGTCGGCGTCGGCGGCGTCGGCGACGGAGGAGAGGTTAATGCACGCCTCGTCCAGGCCGCTCGCCGGCGGAGCGAGCCTCTCCGAGCGGACCGGCCATGACCCGAGGACGGCGCCGGCGAGGTGAAGGTTGGCGGCGAGGCGGAAGCAGCTCACGTCGGCGCTGCCCTCGTGGAGCTGCGCCACCGCCGCGCAGAGCGCCGTCGCGGGGCACGCGCTCGCCGACCGGCAGAGGCTCAGCGCGGCAGTCGCGTTGGCGAGTACCTCTGGCAGCGGGTGGGCAAGGTCGTCGCGGACGTCCCCGCACGCCCAGCCCGCCGCCCCGCTGTACGAGAGGGCGGAGGCGGCGCCCGTGGCGGCAAACAGGGCGAGCGAGACGGCGACGAAGGCGAAGGCGAGTATGTGCAGCAGGAGCATACCCAGGTTAGTCACGGCGCCCGAGCAGCATTCCACGAGCGGAGAGCAGTAGTTGGAGAGCTCTGACGCGGGAAACGCGGCGGCGATCTTGTCGGGGTCGGCGGCGAGATACTGCCGGCGGACCGCGAGCCCGTACAGCGCCACGGCGACGGGGGCCAAGGCAGGCCCGATGACCGCCGCCGCGAGGGCGGTGAAGAGCGACGACGGAGACTGCAGCCCTTTGGACGCCTCGCGCGCCGCAGTGAGGCAGATCGCGGCGGCGGAGATGGCGGCGGCGGAAGCGGCGAGGGCGACGAGTGGCACAGGGCCGGGAGGTGCGAGCCGAGCGGCGCTCGCCAGGAGTTTGCAGCTGTGGCAGAGGCGAGCGTGCATGATTTGGACGGGGCGTACATGCACGCCGTTCACACTTTCCCATTTTAGAGACCTCGCGGAGGTGTACATGCATATGACAGCGCGCGACTCCCTGGCCTGGCCAGTCCCGTGCCGATTTTTTTGTTTTCGCCTTCTTACGAGAACTCGGTCAAGTACCCACCCAGATCCTTCGTGGTGTACCCTGTGTTCGGGGGGAGGAGGGGGGGGAGCCGGGCCCTCTTTTCGCCTCTTTGACGCCGTTCACAGACCTTGAACAAGAAATTCACCGGGCCTGGATATGAGGTTACTGACTGCACTCCAAGTGCTCCAAGCTTGAAAAAGAACAGGGGTGCAGGCCCCAAATGATGTGTGAGTGTTAGAGTGGTTACCGTCGGGTCTCTATTTTAAGCCCAGGTTAACAGCAATAGATCCGGGTGTAGTGCCGGATCAGTTCCTGGAGCCAGGGGGACCGATTCGCGCTCGCCAAGGGACCAATTGCTGGCGCCCCTGCCGGCGGGCAAGAGGGGGGGGGGGGGCTCTCTCTCTCTCTCTCTCTCTCTCTCTCTCTCTCTCTCTCTCTCTCTCTCTCTCTCTCTCTCTCTCTCTCTCTCTCTCTCTCTCTCTCTCTCTCTCTCTCTCTCTCTTCTCTGTAAAAACTGCAGATTTCTTTTGCTCGAGTCATAAAATTCTTTTTCGCGAGGTCAGCAATGGTTGGTGCTGTGGCGCTCGTGGCAGCGGCTCGGCGAGGCGACGAGGCGGCGGTGCTGGCGTGGCTTGACAGCGGCGGGTGGGTCAACGCGACTTGCAGGGTAGACGGTGTGAGCGGCGTCACCGCGCTGATGCGTGCCGCCCAGAAGGGCCAAGAGGGGGTGGTCGAGCTGCTGCTGCGGCACGGCGCGGAGATCAACCTGCAGAGCAGCGTCGGCGGCACCGCGCTGATGTACGCCGCCGGCAACGGCCACGAGCGGGTGGTCGAGCTGCTGCTGCGTGGCGCAGAGGTCAACAAGCAGAACAGCGACGGCTGCACCGCGCTGATGGCCGCCGCCTGGAACGGCCACGAGCAGGTGGTCGAGCTGCTGCTGCAGCGAGGCGCGGAGATCAACAAGCAGGACAGCGACGGCTGCACCGCGCTGATGGACGCCGCCGGCAACGGCCGCGAGCGGGTGGTCGACTTGCTGCTGCAGCGCGGCGCGGAGATCAACTTGCAGAACAGCAAAGGCGACACCGCGCTGATGCACGCCGCCAACAACGGCCACGGGCCGTCAGTCGAGCTGCTGCTGCAGCGCGGCGCGGAGGTCAACAAGCAGGACGACAACGGCGTCACCGCGCTGATGCGCGCCGCCGCCAACGGCCACGAGAGGGTGGTCGAGCTGCTGCTGCAGCGCGGGGCGGATATCAACTTTGAGGACGCTGAAGCAGCGGCGAGGGAGGCGGAGAGAGCGGCGGCAGAGGCGGAGGCGACGCGGCATGCCGAGGCGCTGCTGGCGGAGGAGGAGGCGGAGAAGGAGGCAGGGGAGCGCACCAAGGAGGGCAAGAAGGGCAAGAAGAAGAAGAAGAAGAAGGCAAAGGGTGGCGCTGGGCCGTCGCGGGAGCCCGAGGATGAGGCAGCGCTGGCGGCGGGAGAGGAGGCGGAGTTGGCGGCGGCGCTCGAGGAGAGCGCGAGGCTGGAGGAGAGGCGGGTGCCCGACGAGCAAGTGTCGTCCTCTTTGGCTGCAGAGAGGCCGCCTTCGGTGGAGGAGGAGGAGCCGCCGGCCGACTTCATTTGCCCGATCACAACCGAGGTGATGGTCGACCCGGTGATGGCGGCGGACGGGCATGCTTACGAGCGGACGGCGATCGAGCGCTGGCTCGCGACCAAGTCGACGAGCCCGCTGACGGGCGAGGCGCTCGAGTTCACTCGGCTGTTCCCAAGCCACATCCTACGCCGGCAGATACGAGAGTGGCGAGGACGGTAGCTTTGAGTAGCGTTTGCACCCTCCCCCCTCGGCGGCGAGACCACGTGCATCATCTGCTTCACGCCTTGAAGACTCACATCGCGGTCACATGAAGACTCACAAGTCTAGTGTGAGTGATCGAGGGGTGCCTGTATCAGGAATCAAATAGCGCTCGCGAGGTGTCGTGGGACAGTATCGCCCCCCCCCCCCCCCCCTGCCGAGCCTTTTGCCGGAAGAGAGTTGGCTCGCGAGGTTTTTGGGACCGAGTGCGGAGCAAAAGAGCTTGCTCAGGGATGTCGCGCTATTCGGTTCGCCGCGGCAACCCTGGAGACGAGGCACGGGTGGGCGACGCCGACGCGGACGAAGGCGCATCTAGCACTAGCTCAGGCTGGAAGGCTGAGATTGAGTACTTCTCACTCGCCCTCCGCCGCCCTCGCCACCACCCACTCTGCCCCCACCCTTGCCCCCACTAAAGGTCAACTCCACGCACGGCTGCGAGCAAGAGCTGCGCGACACCGCCCTGGGCTACTTCCCGGCCCTGGACGCGAACCTGCGCGCCGACTACCGCCCGTACGAGGTTGGCCTGTACAACCTCTGCCTCAAGCAAGGCGATCACGAGCCGTGGTACACGCACCGTCACATCGAAGCTTACGTCTTCAACCAGCCGCCGCCGTCGCCGCCGCCGTCGCCGCCGCCTTCGCCGCCGCCGCCGTCGCCGCCGCCGTCGCCGCCACCTCCGTCCCCTCCGCCCCCTGTGCCGCCGCCCCCGTCGCCTCCTCCGCCTTCACCTCCTCCGCCCTCGCCTCCTCCGCCCTCGCCCTCCCCTCCGCCACCATCCGCATCGCCCTCGCCCCCGCCGCCGTCGGCTTCACCCTCGCCGCCGCCTCCTTCAGCTTCGCCGTCGCCTCCGCCTCCCTCGGCATCGCCCTCTCCTCCGCCACCGTCGGCCTCGCCCTCGCCGCCGCCGCCGTCCGCATCGCCTTCGCCGCCACCGCCGTCGGCTTCGCCCTCGCCGCCCCCGCCGTCCGCCTCGCCCGGCCCACCGCCGCCGTCGGCCTCGCCCTCTCCGCCTCCGCCATCGGCCTCGCCCTCCCCTCCACCGCCGTCGGCCTCGCCCTCGCCGCCGCCGCCGACACCGCCGCCGCCCTCACCGCCACCACCGAGCTCGCCGCCGCCCTCACCGCCGCCGCCGAGCCCGCCGCCGCCAAGCCCGCCGCCGCCGGCCCCTCCGCCGCCGTCGCCGCCTCCACCTTCACCGCCGCCTCCCTCGCCTCCGCCGCCGTCGCCGCCGCCGTCGCCGCCGCCGTCTCCTCCTCCTGCTCCCCCCCGGATATTGTCATCACCGTCGACGGAGGCCCGCCCCCGTACCCCGAAAATGAGACCTACCGCATCAACCTCTGGGTCGATATCGAGGCGTCACTCCACTTTGCCGGAGGCCATAACGTCATCGAAGGAGATCGCGTCAGCTGGATCAACGTGGACAAGGTCAACTCCACGCACGGCTGCGA